CCATGAATGGCCATAAACTTGGTGGCTTAAAACGACAGATATTTACTCCCTCACAGTTCTGGAGGCCACAATCAGAAATCAAGGCTGGGGTAGGGCTGTGCTCCCTCTTCCGGCTTCTGATGGCCCCCATCTTGTGGTAGCATACTCTGCTTTCTGCCTCTCTCTTTACTTGGCCTTCTTCCCTGTGTTTCTGTCTGATATGGTTTGGCTGTGTCCCCACTCAAATCTCATCTTAGGAGGAAGCTGGTGGGAGGTGGTTGAATCATGGGGCACGTGTCATGGTGTTCTTGTGATAGTGGGTGGGTGCCACAAGATCTGATGGTTTTAAAAATGAGAGTTTCACTGCACAAGCTCTCTTCTCTTGTCTGCTGCCATTTGAGATGTGCCTTTTACTTTCCGCCATGATTGTGAGGCCTCTCCAGCCACGTGGACCTATAAGTCTATTAAACGTCTTTCTTTTGTAAATTGCCCAGTCTCAGGTATGTCTTTATCAGCAGCATGAAAACAGCATGAAAACACTCCCTCTCATATTTCCCTTGGTTCTCCTCTTATAAAGATACCTGTCATGGGATTTAGAGTCCACTCAATCCAGGGTGTGATCTTATCTTGAGATCCTTTAATTATATCTGCAAAGATCTGTTTCCAAATAAGCTCACATTCTGAGGTTCTAGGTGGACATGAATTTTGGGGGATAAATATTCAAGCCACTACAATGATATATACAGAGCTTACAATAAAATATAAAGGTACCATCAAGTCAATTGTCTAAGCGGTAGCAGACGACCTCTTTAAAGACTCACACTAGCTATGAAGATCAGCTGCCTCACTGTGTAGCCTGCCGTCAGAGTGAACTTCAGCAAATATCTCAGCAGACCCTGACAGCGTCTTCGCTGACACCAGGAAAGATAAAAAGCAGAAATATAAAAGCCTGTCATCCATTTATTTCCATGTTCCTTGTATCTAAATGTTTCTTTCTCCCCTGCCCCATCTCTTTCCATATGACAGTTTAGCAGGCACTAAGGAGTGGAACAGTGTCACTCTCCCTATTATATTTATGAGCTGGTTAAAGAATAATAACTGTGGTATCTATCTTAATTTCCATTTTTAATATTTTGTCCTACTTTTGAAAAAAATGTCAAAAGAGTACTGTAATTCAAGTGCAAAGATAAGCACACATACTTAATACTGTTTTTTCAAGAGTCAGGGTTTCACTCAGTTGCCGAGGCTAGAGTACAGTGGTGTAATCAAGGCTTATTGCAGCCTCAAATTCCTGGGCTCAAGCCATCCTCCTGCCTCAGCCTCCTGAGTTGATACAACTACAGACATGTCCCACCAGCCTTGGCTATTTTTTTTTAAATTTTTGTAGAAACAAGGTCTCACTATCTCTACAGGATTGTGCCCAAACTTGCTTGTCTGGAACTGCTGGCCTCAAAAGTGATCCTCCTGCCTTGGCCTCCAAAGCACTGAGATTACAATTGTGAACAACTACACTCAGCTGCATACTTAATACTCCGGAAGGAGTTTTCTTGTTGTTGCGGTTTTTCTTGGTTTTAGGAGTGTTGGAAAGGGAGCTGTGTTGGAGTTTGGTATTACACATGCTGAGTGCAAAGCACACCTGGGGAAGCATGGAGGCCTCATTGAGGATGGGTGAAAACCAAATTTAGAATTTTTTCTTCTTAAATATTTTGAGCCTCATATTTGTAGCTTTTCATAAAAAGCTTCTTCACAGCCCTCATATGAATGACACAACCAAATACGAGAGTTGCTAGTTAAGAAGTTAGTAGTGAATATTTAAGGAGTAGCTTGGGGGTCCTGCAGACTTGGGTTTGAATAAGACCTTGGGCAGGTTGCTTAACCACACCTACCTCAGTTTCCCCACCTGTAAAGTGGAAAAATGTCTATAGTTCACGTTATTGTGAGGATTACATGAGACACTCAGCAGTGTGCTTTGCTGTGGACTAACCCCTGATCATGTTAGTTTTCAGAGTCTCAGTAGGCCCTAGAAGGAGGCAGGAGGTACCTGTGTCCCCACCTGATAGCCTTGAAGAAGTCAAAAGCACACACGGCTAGTGCTGCAGGGCTGGAGACAGGAACAGAAATCAAACGACTGCAAATCCCTATTAATTCCAGTGTCATTACATTCCTGGCAGAATAAGGTACTTCATAACATGTTTGTATTGTTCTCCCAAACTATAATCCAAGCAGAAAATTATGTTTGAGCTTTTTAAACCACCTGAACCATAAGAGAATTCATACCAGTTCTGAGTATAGGATTTCTATAATGTTGGGGAAATAACTACCCCCACAATCACAGGTAGAGCCACTGAAGGCAAACAGGCTGATGTTTAGAGTCCTCAACAAAAAGGCAAAGACTCAGTAACGTGATCTAAATCATGAACAGGCCAAATCTGCCCCTCTCCCTATCTTTAAAAATAAAGTTTTATTAGAACACAGCCATGTTCATTCATGTGTGTATTGCTGTGACAAAGACTTCATGGCTCACAAAGCCTGAACCATGTACTACTTTGCGCTTTACAGAAAATGTTTGCCAACCTCTGCTGTAACGGAAGACATATAATGGGGCAGCATTGAGGAGAACTTGAAAATATCTTAAAATGCCAAATGGCAGCTGGGCGTAGTGGCACATGCATAATCCCAGCACTTTGGGAGGCTAAGGGAGGCAGATCACGAGGTCAAGAGATCGAGAACATCCTGGACAATATGGTGAAACCCCGTCTCTATTAAAAAGACAAAAATTAATCAGTCACGGTGGTGCGCACCTATAATCCTAGCTACTCAGGAGGCTGAGGCACGAGAACTGCTTGAACTCGGAAAGTGGAGGTTGCGGTGAGCTGAGATGACACCACTCACTCCAGCCTGGGCAACAGAGTGAAACTCCATCTCAGAAAAAAAGAAAAAAATGCCAAACTGCATTCCTAGTATTCTCACTTAGTACTTTCAGTCTCAGGAAATAGGGGCGCTTTATTTTTCCATGAAGTAGTAGAGAGGCTAAATCCCCCAAAGTGAAATGAGCAGGAGGATCTTAAAGTTAGAAGGCGTTTCTCCCAAGACAGCCAGGGTGGGATCCTGACACTCGGCCACATTTGTCTCAGTGGCCTCAATAGCTTTTCCTCCCCCATGATGAAATTCCACACATCTATAGATAGGAAGGACTCACTTGGATTTTCTCTTCTTCCAGAGTTCGTGCTGGGCTAGATCCTTGCCCCAAATCCTCCTTTTCTGCCAGTTTCTTGCAGATGTTCTTAGTCTGCTGGTTATCTGGAGTCTGCAGATCATGGTACGGTGATTTTATTTTCAAGCTGTTGGTGAATTCTTCAGTGCGAGATTTTCTGAAGAAAGGCAAAAGTGAAATTCTCAAAAAACATTCTTCAACTGGAAGAGCTTTTCCAAAGCAGATGTCGACATTCACATTATGTGGAAAAAAAGCAACAGACACCACTTACTAAGTGCTTCTAACATGTTGGGCCCTGTGCTAGGTGCTGTAAAGACGTTAAATTCATCCTTAACACAATGCTATGAGGAAGACATTGTCATCCTCATTTTGTTATAGGAGCTCCAAGAAATTTTATAATTCATCCAAGACCACCTAGTAAGACAGCCAAGATCTGAACCCGGGTCTGCCCAACTCCTGGTTTAGAAGTTAACCTATTAGAACACACCATCTCCTTCTGATCAATCATTAAAAAATTCCTTTATGTTCATAAATCCACTGATAGTTTTAAAGTTACAGGCACTAGTGGGGAACATTCCCAGACCTTGAAAGTCCAATGCACCATCCATTGTGCCACAGAGCCTGCTTTGCATCCCTTGCCCTTGGGAACTGTACTGAGGTCCTCATATCTGTTCCAATTTCCACTTCACCATCTCAGAGTAAGGCTGTTAACATCACTGCCCAGACCCACTCTCCAGAGAAGGACACCCATAGCACCCCAGGTACCCAGCAGAGAAGCACCATCACCTGCCTCAGTTTCCCTCCAAGTTATCTTCCTACATCTCCAGTTGATGTCACTTCCCTATTGAAAAACTTCACTGTCCACAGAACATGGTCCAAACTCCTAAATCTGGCCTTCAAAGCAGTTTCCCAAGTGTATTCCAAATGCTCAGAATACCTTGTCATTCCCCCAAGAACCATCTGTAATCAAGTCTAGGGGTCTTGGTCTATGTCTACGTGGTTCATTGTGTTGTTCAGATCTTCTATCCTTGATGATTTTCTTGTCTGTTTAGTCCATCAGCTGCAGAGAGATGTGTTAACACCTTCCACTATGGTTGTAGCTTTATTTCTCAAAGTTCTATCATTTTCCTTTTATTCTTACAAAATACCCCTCATCTCTGGTAGTGCTGCTTGCCTGAAAATCTGTTGTTTAACACTAGTATAGCTAAATCAGATTTATTTTTATTAGTGTTCTCATGGTATATTTTTTCCATCCTTTTACTTTCAATCTTTCTATGTCATTATATGTAAAGTGCTCTTTTATAAAGACATGTGTAGTTTTTATCTAGTTTAATCATCATAGTCTTTTACTTGGAATATTTGATCCATTGATATTTAATGTAATTAATTACATAGTTGATTTTTGTCTATTATCTTACTTTTTTTGACCTACCTGTTTATGTTGCTTCTTGTGGATTTGGCAAGCATTTTTTTCTATTGCTGACAATGCACTCTAAAAAAATAAAAATAAATAAAAAAAGTGCTCTGCCTGCACTTTCTTTCCTGGCCTTCTGTAGCTGGAAAACCACTCCTTTCAAGGTCTGGTTCAGATTTCACCAATCAGAATGAGAGGTTCCCACCTATGCTTGGTAAACGCTCTGTTAATACCTTAGTTATAGCACAAATTGCAGCCTGCACTGGGTGCAGTGCATCTGCCTACTTCTCTCCCTAGACTGGAAGTTTCCTGTTCCTCTGAATTCCCAGTGCCTTGCACAGTGTATGCACCTAAAAAACCTGATTATCCAGCTGCCTGGATGTAAGTGATCTCCTTGGAAGGCCTGAAGCTTGCACAGTCACTGCATTTCTCACATATATTCCTGATACTCAGCTGCATCGGCCTGCATTGCTCTAACATGATTCTAGTACAGACACAGATGATCACTGGGAAACTCACACACTCATACAGACCAAAGCTGGAATCACAAGTGGGGGAATGAAGCAGCTGATTTGAACTTCCTGAGGTCTTTAGTGCTATCAAAGACTTTAGATCAAAAGTCTAAATCATCCTTGTAAAGAGATCCAAGAGGTCTTTAGACCAAAAGTCTAAATCAACCTTCCGAAGGGATCCAAAATGACTTTTGTGACCCTCCAACCCAACCCCACTCTCCCACCTGATACTGTGAGCAAGAGGCATGTTTGCAATGTTTTCTAAAGTCTGGGGTTTGGGGTCTTTAAGTCTCTGGTTGGTTTGAGGATCTCATACCTGAGCTCTTCTGCCTCCTGTTCTTCTTTTAGCCGGGCCCTCTCAGCAATAATTTCATTACAGAGCACATCATAGGGTTTATCTAGGTGGTGTTCACCCATCACCCAGACCCAGACTTCCTTATCTGCTCCCAGCTTCCAATGAACAGATTTGCCATTCTCTGCAAACAAATAAACAAAAAATTCAGATTGAACAAATATCTTCAGTTGTAGATTACTGTTTCCCACCACTAAAGTATTTAGGGTCTTTGAAAAAATATATATGTGTTAGATAAGGCAAAGAACTTCCAACTGCTCAGGAACATTTGTAGGTAGCGATGGTAGTGGTGGCAGTGAGAGGCAGCTTCACTGAAAATATTTGTTTTACAAATATTAGGGGTATCTTTGTTGCACATGCAAAAAACATTTTATAAATGAAGAAACTGAAATGGGAAGAAAGCATTCATTGTTTGCATTATCCTTTAGGGTAACAGACCTAGCACCTCACACCATAATCTCTTAAATCTAACAATCTCCCTGTAACCCAGAATTTTATAGCTGCTCAAGGGTGCGGCATTTATACTATGTTCACAGGATTCATTGGTGAACAGAAAGCAGGTTTTATTATTTTATTTTATTTGTATTTATTATTTTCCTTTAGAAATGACATCTTGCTCTGTCACTCAGGCTGGAGTACAGTGGTGAGATCATGGCTCCCTGTAGCCTCGAACTCTGGGGCTCAAGCAATCATCCCACTTCAGGCTCCCAAGTAGCTAGGACTACAGGCATGCACTACCAATCCCAGCTATTTTTTTACATTTTTTGTAGAGATGGGGTTTTGCTTTGTTGCCCAGGATGGTCTCAAACTTCTGGCTTCAAGCAATCCTCCCGCCTCAGATAAGGAGGCATTTTAGATTTAGACCAGCATGAGTTCAAATCCCAGCCTGCCACTTATAAGCTATGTGACTTGGACAGATTAAGCTCTTTAGACTCAATTTTTTCATATGCAAAATGGGAATACCAATATCTACTACCTAAGGTTGCTGTGAGTAGGCAGGCTACCCTGCCAAGTACTTCCACTAGTACCTGCCACATAATAGGAGTTCAACAGAGGTTAACTGCTATCATTGCTAGCCTATTATTTACTTATATGGCTACCTCTGAGATTCACACCAACCTGTGAGAAGATAATACAACCAGGTAGTATGATACTTGGTGAAGCTACTTAAATAACCCTTGTTTACAATTGGCCTCCCAGGTTAGATTACATCCTAGTGCTCCTGAAATGCGGCCACATGGGTCATGCCCCTTAAACTGGGGGCAGGAGGAGTGTACCTAGGAGAGGCCAACAGAGACCATCGCTGAGTCCGGCAGACCTACTCAGGGTGACTGTGGGCCAAGGCTGAACCTCTAGTCAAGACCCCAAACCAGCAGTGGTGCTGACTGTGTGGAACAGGGCATCTGGCTGGTGCATGTGCTGGGCCCTGTTTGACGAGTGAGACATCCACACTGAGACTCTGTCTTGTCCTCTTACACTAAGTCAAAGGAGGTTTCCAGTTAAGGTGTCTTCTGTCCAATGTATTGTTGACTTTCGTACTGTGGCCTTGGGATACATTACCAAAGCAGGCTGCTCAAAGCCAAGCTCATGCTTTCTTTTGACCCTTTCTACCCTTGTTGGTACAATGGACACTCTTGCAGTATAATCAAGTTCTAAATAGAGACACTGGGCAGAGGAAACAGACTCAGAGTCTGTACTACCAAATGATTCCAGGTTACTGTCTATACCAGTGGAGAAACAGCGAATGTGGCCTCCAGGTAAGGAGGGGAAGATCAATCCCACTGTGCCCAAATGGGGCTGGGCAGCAGTGCGAACTCTTGGCAAGCTCCTTCTCTGTTTGAGGTAATGCCAGATAGTTCATTGACTTTAGAAAGCTGTCATACCTCATAAAACTCCCTTTATTATACTCTCTCAGGGCAACTAATAATACTTTTATTATGTCAGTCTCTCAGCCTTCACCTAAGTAGCTCTCTGTTGGTTTTTTTTTTTGACAGCAGGAAGAAGATGCCCAGAAAGGATGGCAGGTGGCATTGTGCCAGGGGAAGAAAGAGGAAGAACAGAGGGATTCCAGCAGCTCAGCTGGAAAAGCCCAGAATAGCCTCCAGAGAGGCCACGGGCTGCAGGCAGGGGTGAAAACTCTTAGGGAAAGGGGGCATTGCTGCAGGTGGGGAGAAAAATCCTAGAACTGCATGTGAACAGTTCAGGCTTCAAAGCTAAACAGAGAAGACAGCAAAGTAGAGGAGCAGAGTTGAAAAAGTTTTAAAGGAGGGAACAGAGAGAACGTGGTGACCATAAAGAAATAGTGGCTCTTAGCAAGAAGACAGAGAATGAGATGTGAAATATCAGAGTCAGCAAGATTCTGAGAAACAGGCTCTTGACAGAGTGGCACTGACAATGGTCTCTGTGCTGACTCCTCGCCTCCAAGAGCTCTTCAATGAGGTCAGAGAGCAGGGATGCTGGAGGAGCTTCAAGTGGTTCCACGGAACTCCCGGAAGCTCTATGAGGAGGGGGAAGTTGTTCTAGTACAATGTGTTATCTGAGATACCCTCTGCTTCACACCAGATGAGGAATGACCCTCAAGGCTTTCATTGTAATTCATTTTACAAGGCAGAAAATGAGTTTTTGCTATTAGCAAGATGTAGAGCTACATGCTGCAGGTGATACAGGATGAAAGAGATGAAAGAGATGTGCCCATTCCCCTGCAAGTAACCTAGAGTCTAAAGAGAAGGAGCAAGACATTAGGTGACTTATTTAATGAATTTTCATCATATATCTACTATGTGTCAGGCACTGAAGTAGACATAGTGTATTAGTTCATTTTCACATTGCTGATAAAGACATACCCAAGATTGAGCAATTCACAAAAGAAAGAGGTTTAATTGGACTTAAAGTTCCATGGCTGGAGAAGCCTCATGATCATGGCAGAAGGCAAGGAGGAGCAAGTAATGCCTTACGTGGATGGCAGCAGGCAAACAAAGTGAGGAAGATGCAAAAGCGGAAACCCCTGATAAAACCATCAGATCTCATGAGATTTATTCTGTATCACAAGAACAGCATGGGGAAAACTGTCCCCATAATTTAATTATCTCTACCAGGTCCCTCCCACAACATGTGGGAATTATGGGAGTACAGTTCAAGTTGAGATGTGGGTGGGGACACAGAGCCAAACCATATCACACAGGTAAACACTTAGGACAAGACAGCCCAGTCCTTGTCTGCAGGAAACTAACATTCTAGTTGTGGGAAGCAGACATGGATACTTAACTAATTATAAAAGTATTAGAACTTGGAAATGTAGTAGGAGGGTTGCAAAAGGATGCTATGGGAATGCTTAGATAAAGGAACTAACCCCCTGGAAAGCCAAGGCAGCCTACATTATAACCACAGAGGATTTTCTACTAAGTCCAGTGAGGATGCAAGGGATGGAGAGATTGCTCTGGAAAGACAGAGGAGAAATAAGACAAGTTCTTTGTACTGAGTATGGAAGGATAGAAATGTAATTTAGACAGAGAGTGAGGGTGGCTTTGGCATTGCATGCAAAGAACAGCGTGGCCAAAGTACAGAGGAGGGAATCACCACCAGGGCCAAGAGGGGCGCCAGAAGTCACCTGCTTGTGTGTGGCACAGGCTGACCACACGCAGGGGAGCAGAGGGCCACATGACACAGAGTCCCACACACCTCGCTAAGGGACTGAAGTTAGGCTCTGTACTGTGGTTGAACCAGAAAGCTAGAGTAAAATCCCAGTTTTACCCCTGGCAGGTTATGAGGCCATGCATACATCAATTTCTGTCTCCAAGCCTGAGTTCCTTCTATAATAAATAGAGGTAAGAAAGTCGTACCTCACAGGCCTGCTCGGCGACAAATGCTCAGAATGTATTAGTTCCACATCCTTTATCTGAGTAGCCAATGAAGAACACATGAATATTCTGAGCAGGTGGTGCTAGGATCAGAAAGTAATTGAGGAAACTCTGCTGTGCATATCAGTGTGTAGGATGGACCAGGGTGGTATGTGATGGGTGTTCAGTCAGCATTTGGGGAAAGAATGGGGAGAGACTAGGGTTGAAAAGACCAGGAGTGAGGCAGTCAAGTCCTAAACAGAGCAGGCATAGGAAAAAGACAGTGTTCAAGAATATAGCCAGGTTCAGACTCCAGGATTCAAGGAAGGACTCAAAGATGATGTCAGAATCCTGAAACTCACTCACTGGGAGCACAGCAGGTGAGAGGCACAAATAGTGACAAGAAAATTAATTTGCTTAAGGAGTAACAAAAAAAGAGCTGTTCTCGAAGTGTAGACTACATTATTTTTATTTTTACTAGAAATCCATATGGGGACATTCAATGGACATCTGGAATCTAGAGAACTGGAGTCCAGAAGTGAGGCTGAGATCGGCCATGCAGACTTGGAAATGGCTCCACAGATGTCATTGAAGGCGCTGGTATAGATGAGCTGATAGAATGAAGCCAGGAAGAGAACCTTGGAAAAGCAGTTGCTTTACTCAGAGGGCAGAAGAAAGGGGAGGGAAGAGAGGTTCCTGATTAACAATAAACAAATGAAAAACATGGAGGATTCTGATTTCCCAAATAGCCAAACAGCGGAGGAGACCAGAGAATCAACACCAGGGCCTCCTATGAAGTACAGGGAACAGTGGTAGCAACGTTCATATTAAAGGGAGAAGGTCCTGCCATGTTGCCGACAGAGGAAAGGGACAGGGCAGTGTTAAGTCCTCCCTGCTGAGATGAAAAGGAGGATGGTGCAGACTGAGGAAGCGGTCAGGCAGCCTTGGACTTCAGAGACTCATTTGAGGGACACAGGTGGGGACAGGCTACAAAGGTGAGATGCAGGGGATGGTGAGAACTGGTGCCGACAAGTCAGTATGTTTACCATGAAGAAGAAAGGAGGATTCCGTCCTCAGTTCAGCAAGTATTTACTGAGTGTCCGCTACATTCCCGGCTCTGCTCCACAGGGCCAAAGGACAGAAAGAGCACTTGAAGAGCACAGATGGCTGAACGATTTCTTTAAATAGGAGAAACACAGGCAGGGAGTATATACCTGGGGTGTTGGAAGGGGCGAGAGTAAGGGTGTCAAGGATGACGCCCAGGAAATGATGGACAGAAGGAGGTGCA